GCCATTTCCTTGTCCAGTTTCCTGGCTTGGTGGCCAGGAAGGCCAGAACTACGGTAATGGTTTTGGCCAAGACACAGGAAACACAGATGGAGAAAATGGTGCCAAACATCATTTGCCTGAGAAGGCAAGTCACCTCCCCAGGCCAACCAAAAAACAGCAGGGAGCAGAGAAAGCAAAGGAGGAGAGAAGAAAGAAGGATGCATGTGATGTTCCTATTGTTGGCTTTGACAATGGGGGTGTCCCAGTGCAGAATAAAAGTCACTGCCACTAAAATGAGGGTTGCAGAAAAGAAAAGAATCAAGGAAGTCAGAGTGACTCCCAAGGGTTCTCCAAAGGATAAGTAGCTGAAACGTTTGGGAAGGCACTGGTCTTTTTCTGCATTGGAATAATGATCTTCTGGGCATCTCTCACATTGGTCTGCATCTGAAATACATGAGGAAAGCCTAGTCATTACCCAATATACAGAACCTTTTACAGAGCTAACTTACAGAAATCACTCCTGGTGATGCTATTCACTTACACATTTCTCCTTAAACAATAATGATTTTTTAAACATTAGCAAAAGATCCTGTACTATCATGAAAGCAAAAGAATTCAGTTCAATTTCCACAATATTAGCAACTTGTTTTCCACTCTCACTCCCCTCTCCCCCCAAAGTCCTGCTGTGCTGCCTCATTGTGACGGGGTGCATTCCTGGGAGGGATGAACAAAGAAAGTCAGGAGTGTAAGCCAAAAGAGTATATTTCCAGCAGGATCACCCAAGGTGTGAAAGTCATTCCAGCTGCCCAACTAAAGCAAGCTGTCGCCTATATTGGGTAGCAGCAATATCGGGAGATGCCAGAGGCAGATGATCATGTTAGTGACAATGGCTAAAGCATCAATTCATACTGTGGTGGAGAAGACAATGGAAAACCACATCTGTATTTATACCAAGAAAACCATATGGATAGAAATTATCAAATGATTGATGATATAGTGCCAATGATAGGCCTCTCAGGTCAGATGGCACTCAACGTGCTACTGAGGAAGAACTGAGAAGCTTTCAGAGTCCTAATGGCATTTATGACGTGGCTAGATTAAAGCCTTCAGGACATCCAGTTGCTGATGTTGCCATACAGGAGAAGAAAATCTGAAGCTGCAAAGATAGAATTACAGTAGGAACATGGAATGTAAAAAACATGAACGTAGGAAAGCTCAACACAGTGAAAGATGAAATTACTAGAAATTGACATCTTAGGCATTAGCGAATTGAATGGACTGGGATTGGACACTTTCAATCAGAAGAGCACACTGTTTATTACTTAGGATATGAACAACAAAGAAGAAATGGCATTGCTTTTATAGTTGGAGTATAGAAAGAACAGTACTTGGCTACAATGCAATCAACTATCAAATAATATTGATTAGACTTTGTGGTTAACACTTTCATATGACAATCATTCAATCTTATGCTCCAACCACCAATGCAGAAGAAAAGGCGGCTGATGAGTTTTATGAACAAGTTCAATTTGAAATCAACAGAGCATGCAAACAAGATGCACTGCTTGTGACTGGAGACTAGAATGCCAAAGTTGGAAACATGAAAGGGGAACATGTAAGTGAATTGTATGACTTTGGAAATCAAAATGAAATAGGAGACCGACTTATCAATGTCTGCCACTCCAATGATTTGTTTATAGCTAACTGTCCTCAAACAACTAAAATGAGGCCTCTATACATGGACATCACCAGACAGGACAGAGTACATAGAAATGGCATGGAGCTGGGATATTTGAGGACCATCTCACCCCAGTTACATCTACCCGTCCCATCAGATCTGGCAGAAAGGGCATGTTGCAGGTCCTGTCTATGAAGGAAAGTCATCTGGCAGAACCCAGGAGGGGACCCTTTTCTGCCACAGCACCTACCTTTTGGAACATCATTCCCCCTGAGATCAGATCAGCCCTGACCCTGAAAACATGCCTTTGTCATCTATCTTGGGATTCTGGTAGTATTGGTGGAGAGCCTGTTCAATAGTTATATTTCTACAAAATGAATTGTGCTCTCCTGCAGAATATGTTTTTAATGTTTTCATAGCTGTATTGTTTTTAATGTTTTTTAAATGATTTATTGTTGTTGTTGCTGTGGTTATCTATGTATTGCTTTTTTGGTTTTTAACTCTGTATTCCACATAGTTGCAGCAGTGAGATGGGCAGCTCCATAAATTTAATAAATAAATAAATTAATAAATAGAAATCAAATGGACTATATTACTGATAAAAGGAGGTGGAGGAGCTCAGTTATAGCATCAAAGGCATGGCTGGGTGCTGACTGTGGAACAGATCACAAACTGCTTGTATATGTAAGTTCCAAGTTAAGCTAAAGAAGAAGCAGAAAGCCAGCCAGTTTCCACACTATGATCTTGAATATATACCTACCATTTTCAAGGAGAACAGCACGAGTTCCTTTGACATCCTGAAACTCATAGATAGAGAACCAGAGGAATTATGGAATGAATTTAAAGAAGTTGTTCAGAATGAATCTGAAAAGAGACTGCCAAAAATGAAGAAAGAGAAGAAAGCAAGCTGGATGTCAGAACAAACTGTGGAAATTGCCAAGAAGAGAAGTGAAGTCAAAGTGAAGAAAGACAAAAATCTCAGAAAGAAACTTAACAAAGACTTTCAGAGATTGGTTAGAAGAGAAAGAAGCTCTATTACAACAATATTTGTAAATACATCAATGATGCAAACAGATATGGAAAAACAAGGAAAGTCTTTGAAAAGATCTCTGAATTCAGAAGGAGGTTCCAACCTCAAACTGGTATGCTAAAGGACGCCAGTGGACAGATAGTAATGGATTCAAAGGAGATCAAACAAAGATGGAAGGAGTGTATTGAAATACTGTACAGTAGAGAGGTCAACATCCAAGATACCTTAGAAGATATTTTGTTCTTGCAAGAACCTCTAGTACTAGAAGATGAAGTTAGATCAGCAGTCCGGTTATTACCAAGTTGGAAGGCTACAGAAACTGATGGAATACCCACTGAAATATGGCAAACAACAGAAGAAGAATCAGTCAAGTTTCTAACCAAGCTATGCCAGCAAATCTGGAGAATGACACAGTGACCAACAGATTGGAAGAGGTCAATCCATATTCCAATACTAAAACAAAGGAGACTTAAT